ATTAAGGTACTTCCAGTTTGTGCGCAGTCTATCGGAATCTACAGTTGAGGGTGGTGCCGAGAGGGGGAAGGGGGGGGGGGGTGGCGTTGGACGTCGATCCAACTGTCAAGTCGACACGTCTTTTTGCATGCGTGACAATATGATACTTAAAGGACTGAATAGGGAGTTAGTTAATAGGGTAAAAATTAATTACTGCCTTTCTGTATTATTGTTCTCATTTATTTATTTGTTCATTTATTTATTTGTTTGTTTGTTTGTTTGCTCATTTTTTATTTATTGTCTTTTTTGTTTTGACTGAAACGTTTACCATTGGATTACAGGGCCAAGATGGCAGCTAGCATTGTTGTCGATACAGCAGCCGCTCTGTCTGAGGTAAATAAAGCCCTGCAGAATATCAAGGAAGGCCTTTATCAAGTCAAGGTACGTTATAGCGGAATCAGTCTTACTCGTGAATATTTAAATGTATTAATTCGTTGTATAAAGACAGTGCATCCGTGCGTTGTCTTTTAAGTTAAAAATCAAAACCTGTAACATCACTGACAGTGAATCCTCTCTAGGCATCAGTTGTTTTATTATGCATGGCATGATATAGCTTATTTATATGACAATAAGGAAAACGTACCCTAGGTTCTAGGTTCCGGTATTGCCAGCTCGATCTTGATCTCATATATAACCCATATCAGCAATATAGTAAAAGCGACTCCATCACAAGGTATATTTAACAAGCTAGCTTTTACGTTGCTCTGACACTCAGGATAGGAAAACGGGGACGTCGATGAAATTTTAACAGAACATTAAAACTGCCGAGAAAAAAAAAAAAAAATCACGGAAAACCCCTACTGACACGTCGACGGTGTCGTGTGTGATAAACCGATTCTGATTCATAACATAAATTATACACGTACATGTATTCCTATCATAGTAAATAATCTAGAATGATATAAATTATGACGTGATTGCTGACTTAGGCCTACTATTAAAAGACCAGCGCCTTTCTTCTTATAGGTCTCTCAGACGGATGCTACCGAGCTGCAAAGAAAACTCGAAGGGGAGTTGTTTGAAAAGTGGGAAGAGGGCTGTGAGGTGATGGCAGCCAAGAACATTGCCATTGCAAACATAACACAGTATCTGGATCATATGCAGAAAGCCTACGAAGGTATAGTGACATCAGATTTTTTTTTCTTTGGGGGGGGGGGGGGGATTAAACAGACAGATAAATTGATAAATCACAGTCAAGCAAAAAGTTATCAGTTTTCAGATAAATAAATAGACAGGTAGTTGAAAACAAACAAACAAATAAATACATTTTTCTCGTACGTGTAGCCAAGCTAAATAGCTGAGTGCTTATGAATATGGATCTTTCAAAAACATTTTTAGACTAAATAGGCCTATGTGCCTTTTTATCTTTCTATTGCTACAGGCATAGACGCCGACATGCGGGAGAAAATGAACGGAATCCATTGGTCCGAAGACTGGCACTACAAGATCATGGAATTCAAGTTCAACAAGAAAGATCAGTCGGGAGCCAGGTACGGGATGGTGGCCTTCGGAAAGTCCGCTGACGGTCTATCCGTCGACTGTATGTACGTCCTGTACAAAATGGACTTCAAGATCGCCCCGCAGAGGATCGTCACGGAGAAGAATCACAGCGCTGTCTTTGGTCTTTTCCAATGGACCACCCACGAAGAGAAAATTGTAGAAAGAGATCTCGGGCTTAAGTCTGTCCAACTGCTTCAGAATTTCTTTCGTATGAAAGCTCTCCAAGGGTTCTACAAAGAGGGGGTGATAGATTCCATCAACTA